CTCCATAGTGTGTTTAACACTCCTTACGGTGTTGGGAGACGCGTTGCGTCTATGAAAACGAGAAAAAACAAAAACACACGTTTATTCAGTTTCGACAGTGGGTTACATTCGCATGATACGTAATAAATAGTTTGTTAAAATTATAATAAAGCGAGACATCCTGGACAAAACATAAATAAATCTCTTCCTTCCCCTCGCCCCGAACTTACCTATAGAAGGGAATAAACATCCAAATTAAATCACCTAACCTAGCAAAGCGTTGCAAACAGTAAACTGTTTGGTGCCGTTCGTGCGTCTTCAACAATAGTGATAGATGTCAGTGGCTGTTTTACGCTATTCAGCAAATATGTAGTTACTAAACATTTTATTTATAGGGTGAGATTTTTTTACAACATTGCTTTTTTTGCCATCCCTAGCCCTGAATTACGCAATTATTCTTACCGTAAAATGCTAGTACATCATTTTAGACGTAAAATCCAGAAAAACAAAAAAATCGTTTAAAATGCTGGTAGGTAAAATATAATATGACAGCTTTTTAGCATGGTTCCTATTTGTACCTAAACATTTATCTGCATCAGAAAAAAAAACTCCGCATTTAAACTTGTGAATCAATTTATGGTAATTTAATTTTTCATTACCATAGTCGTAAAATAAAATTACAAGTATTAAGTGCGTATTTTTCTTTCACCCATACGTCTGGAGAAAGTTATATGATTATGCTGCTGGAGAAAAGTGTCGATATTAGGTTTAAAACCCCGTTTGAAAAAATGAGCAACTGAAAACAAGTTTTTACTTTTTTTTATCAAAACGACTACCGGGTGTGAACAACACTTGCGCATAAACAGTTCATAGACTTTTCCTCGAAATTATATTCCTGGATCGATCTCAATGATGTCACGGCCTCTTGAATTGGAAACGTATATTGATAGTGATATTGAACTTTTGAAACGTTCTGAGGATGTGGTAGTGAGGAAGGATTAGGTTTCGGATTAGGGGGAGGTTGATACATTTTTGGATTTGAGCTATTACGGAGTTGTGGAGGTATGTGAGGGTGTGGGATATTTTGTTTTGGGATCATATGGAGTTGTAGATGATATAAATGGGTGGGCGAAAGATGAGGCGGAGGATGTGGTCTTCAACGCGGGTTAATTTTGTGCGGTTGGTGTGGTATGTAGCAAAACAGGTGGGACGGATATGAAGGGATTAGTGCGGATGGGGTATAAGGTATTGGTGATCCTAGTTGTTTTGAGGGTAATTTTGTGGATGTGTTGGGACCAAAGGAGCTAGCGAGGAGAAGGTTATACCGAGGTAGGATATTTCTGGTGTCCAGGGGATAAGTTCGTTTGCAATGGTTAGGGGAGGGGGGTTGGATGGGTATGTTTTGTAGGAAAACAGGATGGCTTGGGATGTGGATGGGTTTATGGTACTGGAGTTTTGGGAGGCTCAGAGAAGGAACTTGTTTAGGGATTCTCGGAGGTAGGATATGGATCGATTTAGGAAACGGAAGGATGCTAGGAGGGCAAGGTCATCGACAAAAGAAACGTTTGTACTCTTGGTTAAGGGTGGGATGTCATTTTGTAAAAGGAAAATAGGATAGGGGATATCACAGCGCTCTTTGGGTCGCCGGCTTAAACTGGGTAGTTGGGAGAGGCTTTTGATAGGTGTCGGATGTGAAAGACGCGATGGTTTAAGAAACTTTGTAGAAGGGTGTGGATAAGATCGGGAAATAGGGTCGGATTTTTCAAGAGCATTGGGTGGGAGACAGCGTCGTAGTCTTGGGTAAGGTCGGTGAAAATGGCAGGGATATCTTTTCTATCTTGGAGTTGGGTGGCTATGGCTAGGGAAAGGTTGAGGGTTTGGAGGGCCGCGGAGCGACCTTCACGGAAACCAAATAGTGTGGTGGTTATGATGGGATCGAGGATATGTGTTAGGATGGGCTGATGGGATGGGGGTTAGATGAAAGCCGATGATTCTTGCTCAGTTTGCAGATAATGGTAACGCGAGCTATCTTCCAGACGGTGGGGAAGTAGGACAGTCTGAGGGAGGAATTCAGGATGAGGGGGATCAGGTCTATTGCGTTTTTTGTTAGGTGGGTGAGTTGGGATGTGAGGACTTCATCGGGTCCGGGAGATTTACTGCAGTATATCGCCTTAAGTATTTGAAAAATGCAGCAAGCTTACTCCTTTATTACAAGTTATATTCGTAAATAAGAATGTTCTAATTTCATTAAATGAAACCATCAACTTACCACTTGGGGGTATTTTACTTTAGAAAACAATTAAGAAAATGTACTAAAATTCGTCACATTTCTGATTTATGTTTCAATTATTCCAAATGAATTTTCGAATTCTTTGATAGTTGTGATTATCGAATTAATTGATAAGTTAAAATTCTTTTCTTGTGTTAGTGCGTTTTCAACTGGTTTCAGAACGTTTGTGTTGGTCAGATTTCGAAATATTTGCCGATTTTATCTTTCAACGTTAAAGATTCCTTTTTTTAAACTTAGTTAAACGGAGTTCAAATGATAAAATTAAAGTTTACACTGTGAAGAATAATAAACATACTTTTGTGTGTAATATATAACGAGTTTTGATTGTTAAAAAAAACAGGATACCACTCTAATATAATCTACTTCATACACAATCAGCATTGGTTTCATTAACAAGGCCAAAAAACCAACTGGTGGGATGGACATTTCTGGTACGAATTAGCAATACTCTACCCACCTAACTAGTGACTAAATGTGATGGGCAGGAAACTTGTGGGTGCAATCTTTTTCATCTTATACACCTGTGATGCCACAAAATCTCGATTTTAGAACGATTCTATATTACTGACTAATCAACAGACGTTGTGATATAGTAAAATACTTGTTCAATGTAGATGGACAAAGCACTAGTGTCCTGTCCTGTTAAATGAAGGGAAATGTTGGATCTCCAATATTAGTGTGTCAAAATAACAACTCCAGGCTAGAATCTAACTTAAAATCTTATCATTACAAAACAACAAACGTACCAAGGCAGTTAAATCGTCTTGAGTGCCCCTCCAATGATGCATGGTTGCCTACTAAGACTCAGAGTTGACCTCAAAAAAAGTTATATTAGTTATTTATGCACCAAGGGTGTTATATGCGTTCTGAAGATAAGAGGTGTGACAAAAAGACGTCGAAAATAAGTGTAGCCTCCCTGGGGTGTGTCATCGCCGCTCGATCATGAGAACCAGTTAACGCCAGTGGTACAAGATTTTAGTTTTTACGTCATTTTAATGATTCAGATTTACACCCGTATTTATAAATTAACTAATGTTACCTTGACTCAATTTCTTTTCATATTCCCCTTTCATAATTCCCTCCATTGGAAAACGCGTAGCATCATTCATCTGTTTTCATATTTTCCTAGTAACCATGACCCTCTCGATTCACGTAAGTTAAGCAGTATGTATCGCGTTTCGTATCGAAGGCAATAACAAGATACAACGTATCAGTAAAAAATAAAATCATTCCCTTTAGTGGTCGCGCTCAAATTTGGAACGCGACTGGTCGCGTTGATTATAATTCTAGTCCATTTTTTAAAATTTCTTATTAATAATATTTACGAACAAATAGTTTAGTTCAAATATAGCGGTGTAATGTTATCTAAAACCCTGGCCAGTAATTTTATACTATTAAATTTATTAGAACGTTGATATATTACAGTTTCAATGAAATGCTATACAAAATTGCGTGTATTATGTCTTCAAACAATTATATTCATATATATGGGAGTAGATATTTGTTTTTGAAAAGTCTTGTGCTGTTTGTTTTGTGCACTTGATATCCTTTGCATTACACTTATTAAATGAAGCAATTTTCAAAAATTGTTTAAACGTCATGAGCATCCATTCTGCTTGTTTCAATGGCAACTTCAGATAAACATCTCACACATATTTTCTTAATGTGCTCTGGGCACGCCCACTGGTCACAATTTAAGCAGTACTGCCGAGTGCTCTTGTTTCGTTGACGTCCACAGAGATAACAACGTCCCACCTTGCCATTTGATGCCTCCGTTGACCTCTCGGTCCCTTCTCGGATTCCCAGCAGAAGTCTCCCGCCAGTTCTCATTGCTGTTTCTCTCTCGATCTTCCTCTTCACTTCTGGTTTCATAAGGAACAAAGCGAGATCCTTTAGAAATCCCCTCCTACTCAACCTTTCTCTACTGTTGTTCTTTGCATAAACATTCACAGAATTGATTGCAACGACATTCACGACAGCTCAGGCCAGAAACTTAACCGCGAGTGGTCGCGTGGATTACTATTGTAATCCAAGCTGTTGCCGGCGCTTATCGCTTGGTCAGCAGTTATCACACGACTCTTATTTCATATAATTATATAGCTGGGGTCTTCTACGAAAGGTACTGGAGAGTCCATGCCAAAGAGTTGTCAACTCTCGCTGCAAACAGCGAATGAATAAGACTGGATTACAAAAGTAATTCACGCGAACACTGAATGGATTTTGAAAAGTTATTTAGAAGGTCTCATCTGCATCTTCAAGGCAATTCAACGAAAACTGACAGGACGTGTGTAAATCAACATTTGAATTTCTTCAACAGGGTGGTTGAAAAGTGGTACCATCAGCAAAATAGAGCATATGCATAGCAAATGAAATGTGCCCTGCTTAATATGGTCCTCTCACTAATATTTAAAAACAGAATTAACGAGTCTATATTTAAAATTTCACACACAATTTAAATTTTCACAGTAAAATACGTTCTCCATTTGAGTATTCGTAAACAGTACACGACACTGTAGATATTGTAATATCAACATGCTACCATTAACAGAAGAAATAAATTTCAATGCTTTACTTTCTTTGTCACGTGTCATTTTATCATTAAATAATATTGCAAATTGATATAGTCAAATTCCTTGACTTTTCCCAGGCTGTTTTCCCAACATATTTAGTTTTTCGCATGCTCAATATTTCTGATAGTATCAATAAAAATATAAGTTTATTTTCTACTTACTTGAGCTTTGGTTGAGATTTTGTTCACCACGTGGAGATCTAGCTCTTTCATCTGTTTCATTTGTGTCATATCCCAGCACATACTCATCCATGGATTTTTCATTATATGCATCATCCATTTGTTCACTTTTTGGTACCAATATCGCAGGCAGCACAGGTTGATGTTGCTCGACATTTCTGCCCGTGGCCACTTCACTGCTCAACTGCCTAAGTTGCTGTTGCGGAGGTGCTATCTCAGATGATTCCACAATTCCATGAGAGAATCCACTACCACCTTTAAGCAAAAATGAAAAATTGATTTGAAAGAATCCCCTTCAAATCTTTCTTCAGAAGAATTCAGGAAAAGCTTAAATTTATTTTAAATAAAAACAACTAAACACCCAGTTAAAAATAATGCAATTGTTATCATTTGCCAAGAAAATAAAACACTGCCCATGACATATCACCTGTAGCAAGGTCAAGTAAGCTCGACTTCAACAAATTCGAATACTACTTCAATCCTCAATGCACGGAGCTGTTGCTCAATAAATAACATATGCACCTCTTTATTATAGTATACAGTACATCATTAGGCAAAATTACACTATTTTTGGCGTAGGTTTCGTGCCCAACACGGAAAACAACCTTATCCAAATAGCATCTGAATTATTTTGAAAAGCTGTGGTTGAGGATTTTGTGGCTGTGGATTTTGTTCACTGTGGTATATATTTTAATTCTTGAACTTCTCTCTTCAAAAGAAATCAAATTCAAAATTTTAATATTTCAAGATGCTCGGGCTAGTCTCGCCATCCCGCAACGATGGTGCGTAACTCGGAAATGGCATTGCTTCTTTGATGCCTCTCTTCGTGGCTCAGAAGCCCTTCACACGCTTCGACGACCGCCACTGACCGCAAGAGATGAAGGCTGCCTTCACACTGAGCAACACGGCGGCGCCACCGAGAAGCGGCTCCGAAGCCCTTCACACGCTGCGACGACCGCCACTGACCGCAAGAGATGAAAACTGCCTTCACACGGAACCACTCGGCGGCGCCACCGAGAAGCGACTCAGAAGCCCTTCACACGCTGCGACGACTGCCAATGACCGCAAGAGATGAAGGCTGCCTTCACGCGGAGCCACTCGGCGGCGCCACCGAGAAGCTGCTCAAAAGTCATTCACACGCAGCCACCGCCGTGCGTCACAGATCGTAAGAGAGGAAGGATTCGCGAGTCACAGCGCTGTGTGGTCCTGTGCTAGTGGGCGGCCAAGCGTCGCAGCAGAACGACTAAACTGCCGCTCGGAAGCACTATAAAGGGCCCTGAGGATCCCTTCCCACGACGCCGCTAGGCACCGACTCTGGAAGCGGCAGAGCCCTTCGCACACCGCCACCGCCACAGACCGCGTCAGGGGAAGGTTTCGGCTGAGGCGACCGGGCAGCGAACAAAAGTGGAGCAGGTAAACGGCAGCTCTGCGCCGCGACCGAGAGTCCCTGTGGAAAGACTTCTTGAAATCTGTGTTCTGCTACCTGTGGCGCTGCTCTGGAGCCACATCAGCGCGAACCCGCCACTTCTGGGAAGACCTCTATTTAAACCGATGCTCTACTACCAGCAACGCCACTCGGAAGCGTTGTAAAGTGGCATCGTGGGGAAAGACCCCTCGATCCCGCCGGAAATCTATCCGTACGCGTCCACTTCTTATAATGAAGCACAATGACACCCGCCGAGAAACAACGCTTGGCTAAGGGAAGCATTCGCACAGTGCACCCTGAGTTTATATCTCAAGGCAATTTGTCATGAGCAAGTGTGCAAACCCGACTAACCTTTTGCTCTGCGTAGAAATGTACAAAAGACCTGTCAGAATCACAGTTCTGCCACTGAGTCAGGACGCAGTTGTCCAATCTTCTCACAAATACTTTAGACATTTCTTGGAATACAAATTAATTTTCCTCGTGGATTAGATTTTCAATAAATAAAACCAAAATGTCTTCTTTTCTGCATTTTTCTGCTCCCCGTGAAGCTGCGAAGTAATGAAGTCAATGTTGTGTAATGAACACGTTTAACAAAATGTTCCCAGAACAAATGTTAGTATTATTTAAATGCGTTCAGTAAGTTAGACTACGTCTCCGTTTATACAGAAACGATAAGCTTATAACATAGAATGGGGTGTCAGCTTATAACTAAGAATGGGGTGGTTGAAATATATATTTGGCTTACGATGAGTCGTTCTATCAAACAAATTAAAGCCTGAACAATCTTCCTTGCATGCTTGGTGTCAAGTGTCGAACTGCTAGAAAGTTGCCAGAATGAGATTGGGTCAGTAGAATTTTTACTTTCCCGCATACGTACGTATATACGGAATAACATACGTAATACGAAGTTTTGCTTTTGTTTTCGGGGATTTGGAACCTGTGGTGTTGCAATCTGGCAACTTGACATCCCCCCCTGGCTCAATCGTAAGCTGGATGTTTTGGAGGTTAATACGTACTCAGAACGTTTGACATACAGCGCTATTTATGCTTTGTTATAGTATACTTAAAAGATTATTTGGCCCAAAAATGGAATTAATGTGACTTTTAGTGCGATATTTATTATAACTTTCACGGAAATCTGGTTGCTTACAGGCATGTAGATATTAATTTATTATAAAAGGGAAAAGCTATATTACGGTCAAGGCAGTGTGTTATCGATGGTAATGGTGAATTCAATCGTGGTCGTAGTTCACTCCAAGACGATTTTCGCGAAGGTCGTCCAAAACGAGTTGTTCCGAAAACCATTGATGCTGTGCGTGAACTGATATTGCAAGATCATATTGTGAGATTGAGACAACCTTAGGCATTACCAGCATACATTCAATTTTCATGAACATTTGACTGTCAAAAAAAATTGTTCGCGCGTTGGATCCCACACAATTTGTCAATCCCTCAAAAAAATAAGGCTCGTGTCGATTGGTCGAAAGAAATGCTCAAAAAAGACGATCGCGGTGCTTCGAAACATGTCTATGACATCGTGACAGGTGATGAATCGTGGATTTACGCTGAGGCCGAAAGTAAACAGCAGTCGACTGATCGTGTTTCAAGATGAGCCAAAATCCAACAAAAAAAACTCTCACAAGCTCAAACAAACGCATTTTTGAACCGAGCAACTCTCCAAAACATCGATTTGCATGAGTCATCGACGATAGTCCTGACTTGGCACCTGAATGACAATCTTTTTTATTCCCGACGTAAAAAAACAACTGAACGTCACGTTTTTTGACACCTGAAGGAACGGTGCTGCATTCAAATGCAGTTTTGTAATACCTCCCAATCAGAGTGGCAAAAGTGCTTCGACAATTGTCAAACGCAGCAAAGTTGTAAATATTCAGGGGGAATATTTTGAAAAAACAATAAAGATATTTTCGAGATTAATATTATGTTTTGGTATCCTAATCCTGAATTAAAAAGGCCACCCTGCGTATAGGAAGTTTAGTAATTGCTGCGGGAAATCGATTTCGAATTTCAACTAAAACTGTTTTGGGGTCTCCTGATACCGAAAAGAACATTTGTTCAAAACGTCATCATAGGTATTGGTGAAAACAAAATAAACCAACCGCGTACGATTTCACTCCACTTAAAAAAGAATTCTCAAAAACCGGCTCCAAATTTTAGCTTTAAATATTCATGTTAAAATAGAAGTAACATACTATAAACGTAACATTGTTCCGAATTGTGTCTACATAGGTTAATGCATACGTGACTTTACTTCTTAAATTCAAAAATTATGAATTGTTTTCTGCTAGTACAATTTCGATACCACCAAAAACTGCTAACTAAGCGAAAAATTAAGATTTTTCGTTCAAATAAAATTTAGTCTATTATGAGTTGCTCTTTCTTAACATTCGATGTAACATTTCTCTTTAGTAATCTATAAGATAATTTTTTTCGCGCTCCAAATATTCTGTGAATTATTTATCAAAGAGATAACAGAAAGACAAAGATTTTCGGAAAAGTATCTCTAAATTTTTGTGCTTTACTTCGAAACACAATATTTGTCATAATACTTACTTTCAATTTTTCGAACGAGGAGTATAAATGCGTAATTTTGTGCCTGTTCACTAATAATGCCTTTATTTGGAGATTTAAAATGCCTAATGAATGTCCACAGTTCTACAGTAATTTATTGATAAAATCACTTTGTGTCACGTAATTTTTAAATTAAATACATTTTTTCGTTTTGATCTGAGGGAATTACAAAAAATCGAACAACTATTATAAACTCTAGGTTAGCCGTTTTATACCTATGCCTATCTTGACAGACACTCACATTTCGTCTACTACTAAACCACGCGGCAAAAATCCTACGTTTGCCTATAGTCGTGGTTATCTAAAATTATTTAATTAACTTACTATATTTTTAAAAAAACAATTTTTTTTAACATCAAAAAATAGGGACCTACAAAATGTTGTTTATATAAATTTTTTCCTAGATGTATCAAAATTGGTTATTAAAAAGATTGTGGTGCCGTTCCAAATTTTATCTTAATGCAAACCACATTGATTTTCGAAAATTGTCGAAACAACAGTGTGCAAAAGAATACACAGTATATAAAGCTAGAGCTTTTTTTGTCTTGATAATTTACTTTATATATGTCAAAAAATCACGACTTTTAAGAAGGCCAGGTATACTTTGTTTTAAACAATTAGTTTTTGCAAATTTCTCCTTCAATTTTTTTTTTTCTGCAAATAAAAATATTTTCTCAAAAAACATTACAAATGCTTGCTTTAAATTCTTTTAGACAGATAGAACAGGGTCACTTAAGAGCTGCACAGATCCTATTTGTTTGAACTTTCAGATTTTTATATAGACTTGCAAATTTATGGAGTATATACTATGTTTACTTCGAAAGAACTTTCTCTATCAAAGTAATACAAAATTAGAGGATAAGTGTAGAAAATACATAGGTCTTTTTTAAAGTGTGAGCGCTAATTTGCCATTGCGACTTTTCATATTCAAAACGTTTTTCGCAGCATGCCTATCCACATATTATTTTATCAGTCTTTTAGAACAAAAGGGGATATGTTCTTTTGAGATCCTTATTTTTATCTATAATCCTTATCTTTTCTGCTTTTTTAGTCAGCTTTTTACATTAAAAGATGAAGATAGGCTCATTGATTTTTTTATAAGGACAACTCCTAACATTTATATTCAAATTTTCGATATGATAATGTTAATGATCACACATTTATATCATGCAAGTTGAGAAACATAGAATAAATATGATTTTTTTTTAATGTGCTGATCAATTTTTAAGTATAGAAATTAGAAAAATTAAAAGTATATTACTTTCAAGGGACCATTTATGCCATTTATGTAATGAGCAGTTCATTTAATTAAATTATAAGAATTGCAAAGTAATAGCAGTTAATTCTTGCATTTTATTTTTCTAATAAAATCTAATTAGTTTATATACCGAGACTCACCATGTAGTCATACCATACTATAGCAGAACAGCTTTGTATTCAGCCGACACCATTCTATTTGTAAACTTTCGCAATTTTTAAAAATCAGAGTTCAACAAAG